TCCTAATGATTGATACCTCTAGCTACCATTCTTCAGATCCACCACAATGTTCAGGCTGAGGCCATATTTTGCTCAGGTGTTCCCAGCCAGTGGATGAGCTTGATGAGGCCTATCAAAGCTGACCCAAAGCAGAACTCTTCTAATGAGCAGCCTTCACTCAAGAACTTCCCATCACCCTGGTCAAAATTGTCTCAATACACTGCAGTCTGAGACTGCTCATACCCAGTCCTTCCTTTTCTCTCTCCTTCCACAAGTCCCAGATTTGTAGCATTGTCTAAAGTCTCTACCTACCAACTCATGTTTTATCCTTTTCCAATTCACTGGCATTCCCCTCCACCACCAAAATAACTCATGCATATTCATTTGTTAACATTTGCCTCACAAAGGGACTGAACTAATACTAATGACAATATACATGCAGTACTTAATCTACCAATAAAATAGTTCTGTTGTAAAAGCACAGCACATCCTGTACCATAGAAGCCATTCCTAAATGTTCTTGGATTTCAATCTCTGGTTGACCCCAGACAAGATCTCAGTCTTCTCCTTTAAATATAAATTAACCATTAAATGACCAGAATTGGGATGTTTACAGGGTAGAATTGACATTAACCCAGTTTCTATGAAAAATATTTGGTCAAGACTAAGGAAAACCACTCTGCTTTAGAGCCTTCCAGAGTCTTCCCAGCTTTCCTTGTCACACAGTTGTCTCCTACTGAACACTCCCTTTGCCCCAGGCTAGTCTACCATTCATCAGTACAATAAAATTATTAAATCTTACAGACTTTTTTTTTTGACAGGCAGAGTGGAGAGTAATAGAGACAGAGAGAAAGGTCTTCCTTTTCCATTGGTTCACCCCCCCAATGGCCACTGCGGCTAGCGCGCTGTGGCAGGCGCACCACACTGATCTGAAGCCAGGAGCCAGGTGCTTCTCCTGGTCTCCCATGCAGGTGCAGGGCCCAAGCACCTGGGCCATCCTCCACTGCCCTCCCGGGCCACAGCAGAGAGCTGGACTGGAAGAGGAGCAACCAGGACTAGTATCCAACACCCCAACTAGGACTAGAACCCGGGGTGCTGGCGCCACAGGTGGAGGATTAGCCTATTGAGCCATGGCACCAGCCATCTTACAGACTTTTCAAACTTTTGTTTTTAAATGGCATTTGTGCTTTAGACCCTGGTGCAACTTCTTTCCCAACTTTCCTCACAAAGCTGCTACCTATGATGCCATATCCTGTATGATATCACCAGTGTGAGTCCTGGCTGTGCTCTTTCCCATCCAGCTCCATGCTAATGAGCCTAGCAAAGCAGCAGAGGATGACCCAAGTACCTGGGCCCTGCCACCCATGTGGGAGATCCAAATGGAATTCCAAGTTCCTGGTTTAGGCCTGGCCCAGCCCTGGCCATTGCAGTCATCTGGGGAGTGAACCAGTGGATGGAAGATCTCTTTCTCACTCTCGATATAGATAGATATAGAAATAGATCACCTGCCTTTAAAATAAATAAAACAAATCTTTAAGCTTAAATAAAATAGAAAAACCTGGTGTACAACAACCAGCCTCCAAAGGTAGAAGAAGCCAAGATACAGAAGAAAGAGGACAAATCCTGGATTACACAAAGTGTAATTTACTGGAGGAAATACAGACAGAAACAGTCTAAGGCCTCAAGACAATGGATGCTGAAACCCCAACCAGTAGTGAGGAATTTACTTGTATGTCAGATAAAGGAGGCCCACAGCCAACCTAAGTACACCTGGACTTTCTCCAGACATACTAACATTCCCAGAATTAAACAAGGACATTCCAGGGACCAGATAAGCAAGAGAAGCCAGATAGGTTATCTGGACAAATTTATTTACCCTATTATAGGGCTTGGGCTGACCATAAGTTTAAGTAAAGGGCAGATGGCAATTACATCCATGTGGCTACGCTCATGTCAGCCTGCATCCCTAGTGGGCCTGGGGCAAGTCCTTTGAATTTATAAGGAAACAAAAATCCATACAACTATAGCAAAAATACTAAAGATCTATGAAACACCATCCTGAATATGCAAACACCTGCTTCTGAAGATGATACTAGAAGTGAAGACGATCGGCATTCTCGGAAGCATCAAAACAGAGGCAGAGTACAAACAGCAGCTGAAAGACAGGAAGGGTGACTCAGCCGAGAGCAGAGTGCATCTGTAAGAGAGTGATTAGCTCCGTAAATACGGAAAGTGCTAAGTCAAAATTAAATGTGGTTCAAAACAAAGACTTCGTTTATAAAAATGAGATCAGTATCACAAAGAGCAAGCCTGAGAGGTTGTTTCAATGTATACAGGTAAAGATGAACAGAGGAAAAAATGGACAGAAAATGGAGATGCCCAAGAAAAATTTAAGCAAACTATTTTTTCCACAAGAGAATGAATTGAAGGAAAGACAAGATAATGATAAGCAGGAAAGCAATGACTTAAAATTAAAGTCATACTCAGGAATGAGCGTACACAAGCTCCACCATCGCCAGGATTTGGAGCTGTCCTTCATACAGTCTGCAGGCAGAGGGCTGCTGGTTGAGGTGGGGCTCTACTGAATACTCAAACGAGGTGGACTTGGAAGCGAGGCTTGAGGACCACCTACTTCTGAGTCCCTGTGTCATGGCAGCAAGTGCGTAATGAGCATGAGAGCGTCAGCCATGGTAAATTTTATTATAACAACATTATAATGACCTAAAGATCTTCGTGAGGACTCAGCCTGCAGCTATATTGGCTAATTCCAGCTGGAGCTGGTTCTAAGTTACAACATCACAGAACTTGTTGCGGGGAGTTGGATGGGGTGTTGCAAGGGGGTTCTTGACAGTGTGCAGAAAGGAGGTTTAGGCTGTGAACAAAAAAGGGTTCAGGACGCCACAGACCAGGCTTTCACGGGGGCCAGGCCAAGGCTGTCACTGGGGTTAACTGGGGCTGTCACACTGCTGGCCATTCTGCTCTGTCACGGGCATGCAGGGCTGCAGCCAGCCGCAGGGCAGTAGGCAGGTGCTGTCAAACCTCACTCCTCTAGCCCTCCCCACTCTGCCTGCCTCCGTACGTCTGTTGCTGTGCACGAATTTCTTTTTCCCCTGCGACCCAGTTCTATGGTTAGAGAGTAAAAACAGGAGAAAACTTAGAGGAAAATATTCCTTTCAAAGGAAGTCAAAAACAGTCCTGGGAGGGAAAAAAGGAGAATTAACTTTAGTGAAACTAATTCTTTTTTTATCATGTCAAATATTTCCTTAATTTGAGGGATTTATTATTAATTTAAAAAGCGGAGTTTTTCAAGTACAGATTTCTCCCTTTGATCTTTGGGCCTCTGGGCCGTGAGTTCCCAGATGCCTGCAGCTGGTTTTGACTAAAGTGTTTCACCAGCAAAGACAGTCTCTGTGGCACAAAAATGAAACCACGGTTGTGGCACGTTGCATTAACACATCCCCATCGATAAGCTGAGATGTCAGGGCTTGCAAAGCCAGCGTGCTGGAGGTAGCTGACTTATTCATCTATCTGTAGCACACTGAGAAGGCGATTTAGGTCTTCTGATGTGTCTTCAAAGCGTGAGTCTTGTGGGAGAAGAGACGGAGCAGAGGAGCACGTGGGAGATTTGTCCCACAGCGGCAGCGGAGCTCCACCAGTGTTACTCTCTTCCCAGCAGGCTAGCTGGAAATGCGCCTCTTGTGCTAAGTTCAAAGAGTCCCGTGATAGGCCTGTGAGGAGGATACTCCTGGGGGTGTGGTGTAGGCTGTCAAAGAAAATAGCAAATAGCAGCAGGTCTCTCGACAGGAATTGTGGGGAGAGTTCAGAGCACTAGGAAGACTGTGAAAAGGGGTTTTACCCAACGAGTCAACAGACCTTTCTGACTCCCTATCACGCACTACCTACTACCTTAGGTTCCAGCTTCCAGAGATAGAACGTGGACTGTGACACACAGTGTCCCTGCCCTTGCTGAGATTACAGTCTGCTGGGGAAGACAGATAGTGCCCTGGGGTGACAAGTGGTGACGAGGAAATACAGAACGCACGGAAACACAGGGAGCAGCTGACTCACACTGGAAGCTCCGAGAGAGGGGACATCTAAGCGAAGGAGGAAAGGATGTGCCATCATTAACCAAGAGAAGAAGAGAAGTTTTGGTTAAAGATTGCAAAACCCACTAAAATGAAACTATGAGAATTAACAAAACACAGACACAAGCTACAAGGGCGAACACAATGGGCAGAAAGACATGTGGGCACTCTGGGAGGCAGCAGGTGACGACTCAGATACTTGGGTCCCTGACGTTCACGAGGCAGACCCAGAATGAGGTCCAGGCTCCTGGCATCAGCCTGGCCCAGCCTCAGCTGTTGCAGGCATTTGGGGGAGAACCAACCTGGTTGGGAGTATCTCTGTCCATTTCTCTGTCTTTCAAATAAAGAAAAAGATTTCAAATAATAAATTTGGAGGTCATTTGCATACTTGCTAAGAATTATTTTTAACTTGTTAGTTTAATCTATATTTGTCAGTCACTAATTCCTCAATACATGTTCATTGCTTGGCTTTCCTCAGTATGGGACCCTGGGGCTACAGGGATACACATGAACTTCTCTGATCTCAGGGACTTCACAATCAAGCAGAGGAGAACTTTGAGTGAGTGACAAAATATTAGATCAAACTGATTTTATGTGAACACAGCCTTGGCAAATACAAGTAAAGAAGTTCAATTTTCTGGTCTCTTTTTTTTTTAAGATTTTTTATTTATTTATTTGACAGGTAGAGTTACAGACAGAGAGAGACAGAGAGGAAGGTCTTCCTTCCGTTGGTTCACTCCCCTAATGGCCACTGTGGCCGGCGCTGCGCCAATCCGCTGGTTTCGTTATTTTCAAATTAATTCAACAAATGGACGCAGAGCATTTGCTGGGTGTGAGAAAAGAGCAAGGGGAGATAAACAAATCTCCATTCTTCCATCTAGGGGAAGACAGGCTCTACAGAAATGTTCACAATTTTCTTTCTTTTTTTTCAGCATCTGGACTTTATTCATGCAAGTGTTTAAAAACAAGCACCCATACCCCATTAGGGGGTGATGGAAGGGCAAGAGAGCAGAGCGAAAGGAAGAAATGACATTCTATTGGAAATAAAGCTCCAGGTTGATCCTGTAGTGGATTTCATAGTCCCCCAGCAGCGCATGGTCCTTAAAAACTGTATACCACTTCTTTTTAGGATCAATCTTGTTCCAATGGGTGCCAGTTTGGGCTACGATCAGTTTCTTAACAACCCCGATGGTGTCACTGGATTTGCACTTAACACAGACTTTCTTCCCCTGATGGTCATTGCAAACAACCTCTATCATCCTGGCTGAAGCTCAAAGCTCAAACCTGCAAGACACCACAATCTCCTGACTTAAGCAGTAAACCCTGACTAGAGTCGATGCTGGGAACTGTGCACAGTTTTCATCTCAGCGTCAAAATCAATGAACCACTAGTCTGAGTCTCTTCTGAAGGTGGCTGAGCGAAGGAAATGAAAGGAAATTTTGCATAAAATTTTTAAAAAGGACGGCAAGTTGAATGAGTTCATACCCTAGGGTGGACAATATTGAAGACTTTGGAAAACATTATTTGGAAACAACCTTTGAAAGTTTAAGCTAAAATAAAAAAGGTTTAGATAAATATATCCCAGAGAACACAAATAGTTTATGTCTTTAGTAAACTATTTACAATATCCTTTAAATAATAAAAACAGGGAAAGGATCACCAAAATGCCAAGATATTTTTGATAAACCACAAAGCTTTCTAACATACTCAGCTTCATTTTCTCACTAAAATACCAGGCAGGGCATGTGAAGAATTCTAGAAGTACTTTTAAAGCATCTAGAATCTAATGACATCATGACTAATATACACCAGGCTTTTGTGGAGAAAAAAATTCTTATTAGACAAACCTGGGAGATGTTTTTGATAGAACGCCAGAATTAATGAATGGAACACAGTAGGCGTTGATTTTATGTCATTATAAGTTAAGCTTGTTATTTTGCAGTCAAGGAATGAAAAATAAATATCAAACCAGCCTGACCTGCTCTCCTGATTTAATAGCTTAATTTCCAGAAATGCCAGTGAAAAATAGCACAAATGTTTGCTGAGGCCAATTCTTCTTTATTATAGTTCATCCATTTTCCCTTCTCCACAAGGAACACAGCACCTAACAGAGCTTAATTAAGTTTATATTTTACAGCACAAACTACATTGCCTTATAAGACAAAGCTTGTTAGGGGACAGAGAGGGGATATGTCTCAGGGTTCAGTCCACCAAAAAGCATCCCAGGATCCTCGCACCTGGTGGTCAGTGCAACAATGGGGAGTCTATTTTCACACATGCTACAAGCAGGAACATTTTGCACTAAGTCAAGGCAGTGCTGGGAATAACTGACTTCCATGTCAAGAAAGGAAAAATACCTCTGGGACACTCATGTTTAGCCCTCATGACACTTCCTTCCTCCCATAGGTTTGAAGTATCTGTATTCTTTCTTTATTTTCAACACTGAGAAAGGAACTCAGAAGGATTCTCCCTTGCCCCATTGCATGTGTTGAAGGCATCATCCCTCATGAAATTCCCTTCAGATAAAAAGGTGCTTAAATGTCTAGCAGTTTATTCTGTCAGAGGAATTAATGTGTCAGAGCCTCAGGGATCAGCTTGCTGTAACAACTTGCTTGCTAATGTTTTTTGAGAAGATTGGCTTGACCCCAGCAAAGTGACCGATTCCCTGTCAGAGTTAAGTGAAATATAAATGTTTCAAAGAAGATCTACATTGGGTATGTGATTCCAATGGAAATAAAAGCAAGGGGCCTTGCTGTGACTGCTCTGAGAAGGCAAAAATACAAGAATGAGTATTTCTGTTACAATGAGGTCAGGTGCGTATAAAAATAAAAGCAAAATAAGAGGCACTTGAGCAAATTAGAAGTTTCCCGTACTCTCAGGTAAACGAAGCCCAAATGGAAACAGGGCAGGTTGGGTATGAATGCTTCACAGTGACATCAGAGGGGCAGGCTCATCTCCCTGCTCCACCAACTCAGTACAGAGCTCAAGTTTTCAAGGTCAACCCATAATCAAAGATGGATGGCAGGGCTCCAGCCACTGTCAATGCACTCCTCACAGCAGGAAGAAGATTGGAAGGAAAAGCAAAAGGCCTCTTTCCCAGCCAGCTTAGCCTCCTTAAGCAGTCTTCTAAGAAGTCTCATCCATCCCTTCTGCTTATATCTCATTAGCAAGAACATAATTACAAGGCAAGATTCAGCTACAAGAAAGACTGGAAAAAGATCTTCTAAAGATGCCATTCTCTTCCTGGATATACTTCAGGATGTACTTACAAGAAGCCTGGTGTCTTAATCCACTTGGGCAGCTATAATGAAATATCATAATGCATAAACAACAAACAGGTCATTCTCACAGTTTTGGAAGCTGAGAAGTCCAAGAGCAAGGCACAAGCAGGTTGGTGTCTGGTAAGGGCTTGTTTCCTGGTTCCTAGACGGTGCCTTTTCACCATATCCTTACAAGTGAAAGAGGTGAGGGGTCCCTCTTGGGTCTCTTTTATGAGAGAATCAATGCCATTCAGGTGAGCTTTGCCCATGACGTAGTCGCCTCTCAAAGGCCCCACCTCCTGATATCCCACCTTGGCGGGTGGTTTCAACACATGAATTTTGGACACACACAGACATTCATTCTATAGCAGGTGAGAACAGATGTTTGGATAAGCATCTAGCTTCCTTTGAGTCTGGATTTTTTTTTCCTTGTTTATTTACCTTAACTTGTGACTATGTAGTGACAGGAAGAAAACTGGTGGTTGTTGGGGGATGGAGGGGATGGAGGGAGAGGGAGTGGTGAGAAAATCAATAAGGGAGAAGCAGAACCTAATAGGAATGAGGCTTATGTCCACTGTCTTGATTGTGGTGACAGTTTCACACTCTACACATATGCCACATTGTATGCATAAATATGCGCAATGTGCTGTGTGTCAATCACACCTCATTAAAGCTGCTAAAAATTTAAAGTGAGAAACTAAACAAAATGTGAAAATACACACACTCTTTCAGAAAACCATATCCTAGTCCTACTGAAAGAATGGTTATTCCCTCTTAGTTGGGGAACTGATTTTTAAATGCCCCTCTTTGGGGCCAGCACTACGGCGTAGCAGGTAAATCCACCACCTGCAGCGCCAGCATCCCACATGGGTGTCAATTCAGTCTTGGCTGCTCCACTTCCCATCCAGCTCTCTGCTATGGCCTGGGAAAGCAGTGGGAGATGGCTCAAGTCCTTGGGCCCCTGCACCCGTGTGGGAGACTCTGAAGAAGCTCCTGGCTCCTGGCTTCAGATCCGTGCTGCTCCAGCCATTGAGGTCATCTGGGGAATGAACAAGCTGATGGAAGACCTCTCTCTCTCTTTCTCTCTCTCTCTCTGCCTCTGCCTCTGCCTCTCTGTAACTCTGCCTTTCAAATAAATAAATAAATCTCTTTTAAAAGAAAACCCTCCTGAGAGAGTAAAAGATTCTTCTAGTAAAACCTGTGAACAAAGAAGAGATAACAATGCATCAGATAATCTACTGCACTGACTCATATGTAAAGGCTGCCAAATACAACACGCAGTGGACAGCAGAAGATGTCTTTCATTTAAAAATTTTGAAAAAGCCAAACTGCTAAAAAAAAAAGTCAAACTCTCCCTTTGGGATAGAAACTCATTAAGTATATTATCTTTCATTCTCCTCTTTTAAGGAGGCTTAAGTAGGAACAATCATTTATTTCACAGAGTGAGTAGCAGTGAGCAGACAATTATTGGAGGAGTCCAGTATCTGCCTTGGAGGCGGTGCACGAGTACATTCCAGCTAGTCTCCCATCATGGCAGCCACATCCATCCTTCCATTCTCTGTCATGATGAGGCTGGACCTCTGCAAGTCACAGATCCTAGACTCTAGTAGGATTCTGCACTGGCAGAGAATTAGGTGAGAAGGGAAAAGACAGTACATACATCCAGCAAAGGCTATGCACCCCCAACAGTGGACAGAGACGACTCCAGCCTCCAGCTTCTTGCAATGACCACTGTACAGGCCACACTAACATTGTTTGCCCACTGACCCACCCCCCTCCTAAGGAGTCCAGGCTTCTTCTGGGTCACGTCCCTCCTCGGAAATCCAAACTCCAGCTGGAGGTAACTTGGAGATCAGAGCACCAGCTGGAAACACTTCCTTCTTGGAGACCCAAGCACCAGCACCCTGAACGTTCTGAGCAGCAGTGCGTGGGCCCCTGTGCCTACTCCAGGTTCTGGGAATGTCATCAGTTCTGCTTGGTTCACTTGATCACAAGGGTATCCATTTCTTCCTGAAGTCCTTAATCTTAGGTTACTTCAGCATTCTCTTTTGCTCTCTCAAATTCGCTGTATCTATCTATCCAAGTCCCTCCATCTAATCCCCTCTGTTTGAAATACCAAGCACGGCTCTCTTTTTCTGATTAGGCCTTGACAGATAAAGGAGATTTTCTTTTTTTATTAAGAAACTAAAGATCTTTCATATTCAAATAAAAATGGGTTTAAAGAACATGTTTTCAGTCAGTATTAGAGTCAATGAAGAGTTCGCCAACTCAGTCGCCCTGGCTTTCTGGAAGAAAAGGATACACCTGATAACCATGTCCTAGACCAGTAGGCAAGCAGCTAGCTGCAGAGCACCCACACGAGAATCTAAAGACTAAATTCTACTCTGTAGCTGGGTCTCTGGCTCCTGGTTGATCTGGGACAAGTCCCTCAAACTCTCTGAACTTGCGTTTACTTATTTTCAAAAGGACAGAGCTCAGCTAAATTGTCTTTAGGTTTTCTCTCATTTTTGTTTTGTATGCATTATAAATCTTTCTACTTCAATCTTCTCATTTGAAAAATCATTGGCTGGCACCGCAGTTCAATAGACTAATCCTCTTCCTATGGCGCCAGCACACCAGGTTCTAGTCCCGGTCGGAGCGCCGGATTCTGTCCCGGTTGCTCCTCTTCCAGTCCAGCTCTCTGCTGTGGCCAGGGAGTGCAATGGAGGGTGGCCCAAGCGCTTGGGCCCTGCACCCGCATGGGAGACCAGGAGAAGCACCTGGCTCCTGGCTTTGGATCAGTGTGGTGCGCCAGCCGCAGCAGCCATTGTGGGGTGAACCAACAGAAAAGGAAGACCTTTCTCTCTGTCTCTCTCTCTCTCTCACTGTCCACTCTGCCTGTCAAAAAAAGAGAAAAATCATTAAAATAAATGGTAACTCTGGGCCGGCGCCGTGGCTCAATAGGCTAATCCTCCACCTTGCGGAGCCGGCACACCGGGTTCTAGTCCCGGTCGGGGCGCCGGATTCTGTCCCGGTTGCCCCTCTTCCAGGCCAGCTCTCTGCTATGGCCAGGGAGTGCAGTGGAGGATGGCCCAGGTGCTTGGGCCCTGCACCCCATGGGAGACCAGGAAAAGCACCTGGATCCTGGCTCCTGCCATCGGATCAGCGCGGTGCGCCGGCTGCAGCGGCGGCCATTGGAGGGTGAACCAACGGCAAAAGGAAGACCTTTCTCTCTGTCTCTCTCTCTCACTGTCCACTCTGCCTGTCAAAAAAAAAAAAAAATGGTAACTCTACTCCTCTTAGTAGATT